GGTGTCTAGAAAGGATGGAAGAAACCACATGTAAAAGGTGTATAATTTCCTCGGTCACATTATGCCTGATCTTTACTATCAATTCTGTCCTTCAGTGTTTATTTCCCATATTAGTCCTCCCTCTATCTCTAGAGGGAAACTTTGAAAAGCCAACACTGTCTGGCTTATTCATCAGTATTTCCAGGATTTGGTACAATACCTGTGGTCTCTTCTAAAGGACTCCCTAGTCGTCTTCTGCCACCAGCAAAAACAATGAGCTCATTCTCCCATATGGAAGTCCTTTTCTGAAACACTAAAGGACAGAATTGATAGTAAAGATCAGCCACATTCCTCATTTTTTCCAATTCTGGGAGTCCCCAAGAAAGCCAATTCAAGGCACACACAAGGTTTGGCTGTGGGACACTAGAGATTACTTGGGGCATTCCTCCATCCTTCAGAGATAAATATAACTTCCCAAGTTTCCTTTCTTTGAATTTTGTATCTTGTGTTTCATCGAAGCAACCTGGGTCTGGACAAACTTTGCAGAGATAAAACCTACGATTAAGGCCAGGACCTCACTTGAGCTTATAAATTCCTGTCTCTAACAGGAGAGATACCAAATGAGGCCTGACTAGCACCCTTGCTGGATGTCCTTCCTATTTATCTGTCTCTTTGCTGGAGTGGCATTTTAGAAAAAGCACTATGACAAGGCTTGTCACCAGAGTCTCATGGTTCTGTGGCCCTCAGTTTTATTTGCATTTTGTAGAGAAATCAAGGGGTTCCAGCTTTGGTTTTATGCATCTCAGAAAGGAAATTTTACTTTATGTCACTGGTTACAGACACCTTATAACTGGACGGAAGCCTCAAAACACAGAATGAAATTGATCTTTATGATATAAACAAAAAGAGAGACATTTATTCAATTTGCCAGAATTGGCTTTTCAGCAAAATTAATATTAATTTTGTATTTTTACCTGATAATTTAAAATATTTTTGTCTGGAGCAAATGAACTTTATATCATTTTTGCTCAATTGGGTGGCACCTAGCAAGATTTAGCTGGTCACACTAATTTGTTTACTTAAAATTCCCTTTGGATCAAATACTCAAAAACATATTGTCTCCCTCCAGTCACCAGAAAGATGTTCCCTCCATACCTGCTGAATCTCTCCGCAGCTGTCATTTATCCATACAGATCCCAGTGACTATGAACCTTTCACAAAATGAAGGAGCAATCCATATAATAGAGAATCTCTAAAGATCTACATTTGCCATCTCTATGAGAGCTAATTTGATGTAAATTAATATAAGCCATTGAAATAAGCAAACGAGTTGAACAAAATCATAATTTTAGATGTATTCATACGCATAGTCATCATACACATAGATCAGTTCATGTTTATTCTCTCATTATTATTAACAGACTGATAATTTCCTTTTCAATCCCAAGGTTAGTGGTAACACAGCCATTGAACAAGTAATGATTTGTAAATCCTTATAACTATAAACTAATAATGATAGAGACTTTAAACTAGTAAAAGTAACATTGCAAAGGAACAAAACTTTGCTCACATTTATTTACCCAAACTTGCTTTGTCATAACTTGAGATAATGATCCTCAGACTGTTCTTACGTAAATGAAGTAAAGTAGTTGCCTCTGTTTCGTTTTCTAATTGGCTACTTGTGGTACTAGCTGTACTGCTGATTCATGGACTCTGGTATCACACAGTTCTTCATCCAAAGTAACCATAAGGGCCATTTTCAACTATTTCCTATGCTGATTCTTAGAAAAATTCCACCTAACTCTGTACCCAAGCATCTAGAAAAAGGACCAACAATCGTTTTATTAAACTAAGGTAAAAGTACATAACGTGAACATTATTTAAATGCGACATTATTCCCTTTTGACACTGATTTTCTATCATTTATTTATAAAGTGGGAGAAAAGCAAAGCAAAGAATTAAATGAGCAATCATTCATGCTTACAGGACCCACAAGCTAAGCCAATAAAAACAAGGGACAGAAATGTGTCCATTTGTCCTTAAGTCACATACTTCCGGAACGATTTCGATGGTGAAACCATTGTATTAGTTCTGGAAGAATCTTCCTATAAATTCTCCATCAATTTGCAATAAGACTGGGAAATAGAGACTTGCACCAGGTGAAACAGATTAAGCAATAATGGAAAGGAATCTATGATCAGGTTAAAGAAAAGGATTGACTAATGCAGATATGAAGTACTCGGAGAATACAAAAATAGGATCAATGTGGGTTGCAGTAACAGAACTGAGTTTTCTGGAAGATGAAAAATTAAGGTTGTCCATGAACCCAACCCATAATCAACATTTATTAAAACATCAATTATGGGTGCAGTACTGGACTCTGGTGGAAAAGACAAAAGTGAATAAGATCTGGACTCTAACACAAGAACATTACTCACCAGAATGGGAGATGGCCATCTACCTAATAATACAAGGTTCTAAAGGTTACGAGTCAAAAATTAAAATATAAGGGAAGTCATTAGAGAGGCAAAGTAAGAAAAATGAAAGATAAGGAGGGCAAGGAGCAGGGATTATCACAAGAACAGGTTTTTCCTGAAACTGGTGTAAGGCAGATTATGGTGTGAAATACTGCATAGGCACCCACACATTCTCAGAAGCGAGAAAATGCTAATGAAGTCTTAAAAGAATCTTTGGGGTTTAGTTCATCACTGACTACCGAGGAGTAGAGGCAGGACACAAAAATGAAGGGACGGAGAAAAACAAGCAACAAAAGTAACCAATAAAAAAATAATGGGAGGCAGTGTGGATGAAGAAATGCATGGTACGTTGTTTTGTAAGAATCAAGGAAGGGAACATGCAAAGGGAGAGGTCAGAGTTCCATGGAAGGGATCCAAAACTTCTGCAAAGAGGAAAAGCACACATGGGGCAGTCTGTTTCCAGCATTGCCAGCTTTGATTAAGCCTGCGTGGCCAGCTTGAGTGATGACTGCTAGTGTTCTCTCTATGTGCCCTGACCCAGGAAGTGGGAACAGGGCAGGCAGGACTGCAAAAGAATGTTCCAGAGTCGAGAGGTACATTCTCCCTCCCTACCATGTTCTACAGCAGCAGACACACCTAGGGCATGTGAGCTAAAGCTGGACAGGACAGCATTTCTGCGAAATGCAGATGCCCAGTGAGGGCAAGGTTCCAGGTTACGCCCACTTACAGCAGGTAATAGAAAAAAATTAAGTGACCACTTACAGATATTTTAGCTGTCTTTTGGCCTCTCTAGTGAGAGAAACATTGAAAGTGTATAGAGCTGCTTCTCTTTTAACGTCCTACCTGTTTCAATTTATGGCTAAGGTGCATTGTTCAGATTTACCTAGGATTTATGAACCCTCTCTTTTTGGTACAGTTGTGCACATCTTGTTTATAGAGCCTCAATGTTTTCTTTTTGTACAGTACAGCTTATTAGTATAGTTCTGTAATTTTTGCTGATTGTACTGACCAGTACAGTACTGCATTTTATGTTCTGTTATATATTACAGTACTACCTGTAACAGTTACACAAATAAATGCAAAATCACCAAGTTGGAGTATCCTTTGACCATTTCATTGTTCTGAATATTGTAATGCTCGTGCTATCTACAATTCCTCATTTATCAACCAATTCATTTCACAGGTGCTCATGTAACTCGGTTGTTACACCAGGAATGTCTGTAGTGTTACATCTGTGGCACCAAGACACAACTCTTGGGTGTCATTTAGTAGTACTGAACTCACAAGGATAGAATAAGCTTTGACAAAATCCATTTTCTAAACTTTCATCTCATAGACACTAAGCAGGTAGGGAATTTTAAAATTAGTTTTGCAAATATTTTCATGAAAATTAAGAAAACATAGCAAAGGTTAATTTTCATCTAACACAGTTTAGAATATTGAACTGACTTAATGGAAGCAAGTGTAGCAGTGGCCAGTGTCTGCATTTACTCCCTTCTCTGACTTGCAGGATTAATTTTTCTGGCATTATTTCCCAAATTCTCAGTCACTATCAGAAAAGCCCAAGATTTCCAGGCCATTCATCTTACAGACACTCATTTCTATATTATCTATTAATCCTCTACTTTGACTCAAACTGCCACATCTCCTCAGCTTTTTGAACCTCACAGTAGGCACCCAAAGCTACACAACAGTTTGTCAGAGAGACTTTTATATCCAACTTCCTAGTTTCTAATAGACATTTCCGTTAGCACGGCCGAAGTGGAAGTCTATCCAAGTACCTGAGCCCTCCCATCATTTTATTAAGCCTTCATGTCTAAATAAACAATACTCTGAGATGCAGAATTAATTAAACATCTAGTTTTCATTGTCTATTCACTTTTGTCTCTTCTTCTTATATTACAGTATTACAGAGCACTGTAGTGTCACCAAACAGTCTTCAATTCTCTTGACTTCAATTGTGATTTTAACATCGTGGGAAGATATACAGTCCCAGGGCTTGGGTCTACCCATTCTACAATTATTGTTTCCCTCCTCTGCCATTCTCATCAGATCTCCTTTGCTTTACTCTGATACTTTTGTCATTCTCTGGTCATCAGCATTTGGTGTAATTTCAGTTCCAAATGGTTAAATGCAGACAACAACGATCGCATATGACTGGTCTGGTCACTCAGTAACCTCATTTATTTGAGGAAGGGAGATACGTAAGTAAATCTCTAAATAGCAAAATAGAAGAGAAATGGGAAGTCAGAAGCAACTCAAATACTTCCCCAAATTACACATTTCAAATATTTTAGTATATATGCTAATGTGTTTCACTTATGTCACTAGTTCATTGAAAGGAAAGTTTTGTGTTATCTGTTTTTTGTAAGAATCTTCCTGATTTATGTCTTGTACTCTGAGCAGCTACTTTGAAAATGATGCAGAGTATATTAACTATTGTTATTCTCTTATTTTGTTATGAAATTTTGTCATATTTTTATAAAATAAAACGCAAAATTATGAGAACTCTCAAAAATGTTAATTTTGAAGAACTACACGAAATCAAAAAGAATATTTTATTTGTAACAAATATGAGCATACAGAAGAGTTATGAACATCTAATTTCTTATTAATTTTACACATTTAAATGAAGAATCTGGAATTTTCACCAAAAATTTACATTTATAATTTGTAATAAAAATTTATATAGATTTACAATACACTGCCACACAAAATAAAAGTGTTTGGCTAAATTAAATAACTCAACCCATTGCTTTGAGTTCAGAGTTCAAACATACAGTTTTGATTTGTCTTTAAGCCTTGAGTTTATATGATGATGCAAACAATATACTGTGATTTTTGTTTCTGCCATTTAGATAATAATCCTTAAATAAGTTCACTGAAATTTCATAGCAGTGTCCTCTAAGTTAAAACTGTAGAATAATGCTCATTATACGAGGGAGAGAATTATAGAGATTGAATTACCGTCACAAATGATTCTGGAGGGAATCATACATAGTCCAAATACTATAATGGATCATAAACATTTCAAGGAAAATTAAACATTTTAAAGTTGAAAAATAGGGACACATGCAATTTAACTGAATTAAGATAGGGAAAATACTAGAATGCCAAGCCAGTGTTATCGTGAAAATGTATATTTTCATTTTCATTTTTACCAGTATATTGGAATGTGGTCATTTTATATAATCCATCAGTTTCTAGTTTAGTAAGTTTCTGTTCATTATGGTTATGGAGAATATCTCTTCACTGATACCAGGGAATGTCGAGATAAAAATGTTGGTCCAGAGTCCATAGTTATCCAAACAAGCAGAAAACAATTTCTTCTGAGATATTTATTATTTTAGGTAATCGCTTTCCCATTTGTTGTACATTAATACAGCTTATGCAATACCTACAATAATGTGGCCTTTCTCAATAGAACTAATCTCCTGAGCCTGCTGCATACCCTGCAAACAGATATATAATTTAGCCATTCAAAAACTGTGTACTTCTTTTACACTTCTAATTTTCTACTATCACCAAATATGATAATACTAGTCTTTCATGCATAATACTTTTGACACATTAATGAACTGTTTCTCCCGGAAAGTAGTACAGTATCTGCTTTCTGTGTGCACGAAAAATATTTACTATATCCTCCAAGTTCTGCATGGCAGAAAATGAAAATTGGTTTCATTTCCTGTTTGTATTAAGAGATCTCCTCCAAGAGTCTTGCCAATTCACTGTGCTTCATTTTCTTGGTGAATAGTTCATCAAACACACTCTTCTGCTTTGAAGTAAAGTAGTTTATCCAATCACCTACCACTCCTAGAAAAATTGGAGATAAATCAGACAAGAACCAATTCAAATGTCTAATACTCACAAAAGAAATCTGTCAGCTTTATGTTAAAAAGCATGTAAGCCTCATCGGGTTTAGTACAGCAGGCAAAGTAAATTCTAGTCCAAATGTCATAAAACCATAAATTAATATGGATATGATATTTCATTTATTTCTTTACTTGGGTACCTGTGTAACAGAAACTGTGTTGAAAGCATGCCACAGAGGTGGGTAACTAGTCTTACTTTAAAGGAATTTATTTTACAATGTCACTAATGGAGAATTGGAGACAAAAGCACCAAGTTTCAATGTAAGCTGTTTGGTGACAAAATATATACCTCACATAGTCTATCAGCCTCTCCTATCATATGAATCGCTTTTCTCAGTCTTGGTTACATGGTCAGTCCCTCGGAATACCCTTTTCAACTCCATTATGCCCACTTGCCAAACCCTAACACTGGATCTTGCCCACTGTAGGATTGATTGATTGAATGACTGATTGAGTGATTGATTGATTTTGCCATGTATTGTCTCAACCTACAGCCCTGTATGTCTCCAAGTACAGGGACCAGTGATACATCACTTTATGCCTAGATTTCAATCTTCAATATATTGTCCTTGAGCATCTTCTCTCTCCAGCTGGCTTATAACCTCTTCCAAGTCAGAGGCTAGATGTATTCATTGTGCACAATCCTAGTTTCCCAGCTCAGTACTGAGTGGCTTCCAGTGGGTGCTCCATAAATACCTGTGCTGTACATAAATGTCAGACAATGTAACTAGGACAAAGAAATATATTACAAGCAAGAAATTTTGTGATGTTCCCAATATCTGGTCCAAAAAACTGAATTCAAGAAGGAGCAAAGAGGGATTGTTCTATTTGAGGGGGCAGAAGGGAGGAAAGGAAAGGAGTGCAGGGAGAAGATCTGAGTCAGAAAATGATCTGGCCTCTGAAACACACCAATGTGAGTGCATAGCCAGCTTCCTGAGGCCCACAGCAATATTACTGCTCCTGAATAATTTTCTTTTTTCTTTCCCAGTTCTCCCTTCCAGCTTCTGTATGAGTTCATCTAAACTACTGTTGCTCTAGGTGACTTCATCTGATTTTGTTTGCTTCTGTTGCTTTTAGTTTCTGGTTTGTTCTTTGAGTTCTTTTTTTTTTCCTTTTAAAATGTAAAATTTAAAATAATGTATGCATATAGGTTATAGGAAATGCAAACAAAAAAATTTTAAAAATCAAATAAATATACTCAACTAACATGTTAACAGATCTGTTGGCATATATCACCTAGATGCTTTTCTTTGTAAGCAAATACAGCCATATAAACTACATTTTTTTTTAAAAATAGCAAAATCATCACCTGCTCTTTTCACATATTATACTTGGATCATCTTTCATGTTAGTACACAGACACCCACAGAAAGACTTAGAGTTTAAGAGAAGATACATAACTAATAGCTCAAAAAAGAAATCAAAGGGAAATTGGAAGATATATTGAGACAAGACAAAACAAAATAAAACAAAACACCACACATGCAAAAATTATGATCTAGCAGAAGTGGTACTAAACAGGGTACTTTGTGGTGACAAATAATTACACTGAAAAAGAAATATCTCAATAATTTAACTATATACTCAACAAACTAGAAAAAGAAAACGCCAAGTGCAAAGTGAGAACAAGAAATAATAAAGGTTGAAGAAGAAATAAATTAGATGGAGGAACAATAGAAAATATCAACCAAACTGAGTTGTTTTTTGGAAACGATAACAAAATTTATAAGCCTTTAGTTATTCTAAAAGAAAAAGACGGGAAGCCAACTAAATTAGATTTATTGAATTCAAATCTTGACTCTATCTCCTACTTGTATGAATTTTATGGAGACTTGATGTCTCCATAAAATGTGGATAACATGAATACCATGCCCACATCTATTGTCAAGTTTAAGCAAGAATGACCAAGTAGGGATCCGGGGATATACCACATTTGCACAAGTGCCTGCATGGCAAGCACAAGGTCCTGAGTCAGTTCCTAGTACACTCCCCCAAAATTACCAAATAATGCACCTACCCCAGAATAAGGACTGGATAAATGCTAGCTAGCTATTGTTACATAATTATCTATAACTTCCATGGCTCTGCAGTAAAGATTTGAATATGGGTGACCTGGCTTCTCATTAATAAGTCCATTCTGAGTTTTTATTGTAAGCCCTATTAACATGCACCTGTGACTCCCACTTTTAATACAGACTTAAATTCTGACACTTGTGTCATTACTTGTCATCATATCTGCACGGTTACCATAGTCATCTTCTAAAACACCAACTCTGACACCAAAATAAAGACAACTACAGGCACAGATTCACCTCTGTAAAGAATTCCTCCTGTACCAAGGAGTCTGAAGAAAAGACTTTAGGAGTGTATCTGAAATCATTAGTTTCAGAGGGTGGGACCCTGACTCTGTTCCCATCTTCCCCCCAAAAAGAGTGAAGCGAATGAAGTCTATGATCTCCTTCTTGTGCTTAAGTCCTCATATAGAATAGATTCCCTAACAGACAGTCTTGGTAACTAATGACTGTGTAAATGTTTCCTCTGTAATCTGTGTTTCAATGCAACACACTGATTAGGGAGAACTTAGACTCATTAATGTTGAGATTACAACGAAGGTGATATAAGAACATTTGCCAGGGTTGCTAATATGGTAGGTCATTGAATATCTCCATTCCCACAGTAATATTCCACAGGTGTGTAGGATAAGGGGCGAGAATATTGATTGCTTTACTAACCATACTCTCAAAGGGCAGCATTGAAACGCTGGACTCTGATAAGCACCAGACTTCCTCATTTCTCACTCTCCTCTTTATTTTGGTTTCTCTCTCAATCTTTTCCTGTTTCTCTCCTGTGCTTATTTTAGCTCCTTTGCATGTATCTTTCCCAAGTTTGTCTGGCTTCCCTGCATCACCTCTCCCTATCCTGGCCCTTAACCTCCTGCATCATCTTGCTCCTAACCCTGTCACCAAATCCCCTGGGAAGGTGGCCCCTGTTGCTGCTCCTCTTCTTTACCTCCCATCTGGTCAACCCATCTGACTTCCATCCTAATTGTTGTGGCACCTGTGTTTTCAGAAATCACGCGTGATAAACACTTCACCATGTTTGACCCTGCCGACCCTCCTGATTCTGCCTCATTTGTTTTCTTGACTTTCCTTGCGTGGTTTCATTTCCCTGGATGTTACATAGCATCTACTGGTGTCCATCTCCGTCCAGTTACCCCATCAGTCATGTACACAACCTCACTGGGTTCCACAACCTGCTGGTGGTCTCCAGACTCACTTTCCAGCTGAGCCTCACCCAACAGTGACTCCTCCCCCCATCACTGCCCCATCATGAAACCTCAAAGTTTCCTACTTGAACAATCACACCAATCTCTTCCCTGGTCTTCCTGCCCCACTTTTACCCTTTGCAATCAATTTTCCATCCTGACTCCATTATTTTCTAGAACACAAGTCTGAGCATTTCTAACCCCTTCTTAAAATACAAACAGGAAAAAGAAAACAGAGCTCCTCACAATGTCCATCAAAGTGTTTACTGTTCGGCACCAATGTTTATCTCCCTCACACATACACTACTCTCCACATGAGACTGCTCATTGTAGAAAATACTATCAATGCCATGGTGGTCCAAACTTTTTCCTCATGGTGTCTTGTGGGAATCCATTGCTTTCCCGCCATTGTCATGGTAACATATTTCTCAAGCTTTTAGTTCCAGATGTGACACATTTCATCCCCCTAATTAGCTAAGGGAAAACTCTCTCCTTCACCAATCTATATTCCTAGTCACATCTGCTCCTGCCACGAGCATTCCTGTTAGTACCTTCTATGACCCTCTAGATGATGCTCTTCTGAAAGAAAAAGCTGTGTTTCATCCAATATTTGAGTATAGTTCCTAGAAATAATAGTTAACTATTACTATTGCTATTAAATATTTACTGAATACAATTTTCACCTTCCTAGCCCTAGTCCTATAGATACAAGGAAATAGAAAATGAAGCACCAAGATGGAAAATAATTTGCAAGGTTAGGACAATACCTGTTTTACATGAATTGGTAAATATTTGCTTGAAGAGGAATTATATTCAGGTGAGTCAAAAGAGGGAAATACAATAGATTGTTTTCTGGTGAGAAATCTAAGAATGGAAGTGCAGAACATTTTGCCTCATGAGTTACAGAATATTTTACTCCATCTGGATAAAAGTTTACACAAACTTCAGGACAATTCTACAGCTTCACTGAAGAATTAGTGTGAAAGATTTTTCTTATATTTGTGTTTCCTTGCCAAGAACATCCTTACCTAACAATCCCAGATTTTCACCCCACTTGCTTCCTGCTTCTGGAGGTGAATTGGCTGGTTGGGTGAGTTGGGGAAATGGACCATCCACAGTATCAACTCCTTTCTCTCTCTGAAAATAATGATAGGTCTCCTGCACGCTCTTGTGTCCTCTCCATTGGGAATAAGACACAAATCAATTGGCTGTGACTAATTGCATATGCTTGTGTAATTCAGGGTAAACTGTTAGCAAATGCACATAGCTGCAGACCTAAACCAAGGTTCACCAAATGGCACTTTTATTTCCATTTGTTCCATGCCAGTGTCTCAATTGGCTCTAATCAGGCATGGAAATCTCAATTTTGGAAAGAAGGAAGTCAAGATTTCATTTAATGCACATCCACTAAAGGATGAAAATATGCAACTGCTGTGCAAGATAGGAGGACTCTGAAGGTAAAATGACAAATCAAAAATAGAGCTGGAGTTGTGCCTGCCTCTCCATGGGGACCAGGTATAGGACCCCCTCTCATCCAGCACACACCCAAGTCCTCAGATGCTCAACCTGCTTATCTAAAATGCCATAGTACCTGCACATCTACCATGTATTTTAAATCATTTCTATCTGACTTATAAAGTGTACTACAATGCAAATGCTATGTAAATAGTTGTGATACTATATTTAGAGAATAATAATCACAACATAACAACCACTCACAACTCACTATTGTGGTCCAGGCTGGCCTTGAACTACACTCATAGTTTTTTCTCCAAATATTTTTAACCTGAAGTTACCATTGTTTGGCACAGTCACAATTTTTTCCCAAGTATTTTTAACTTGCACGTGGCTGAATGCAGAGATAAGAAAATGATGCAAACACAGAAAAACAACTGTACCTCCACAGTCCCCAGGACAAATCCCTAGCTTTCTCAATGCTTACCTTTCCTGAACACCAGGTTCCTGTCAGATGTGAGGGCACAGATCGTGTGACTGAGATCATAGTTTTCTTTGATCGAATTATTTTTCATTTCACTGAATGATGTTTTCTGAGCAATCTTATTGACTTCACTATCATTCACATTTATTCCAAGAAAAGTGGTTATTTTCTTTAAGCTTTTAGAAAAATCCTGAGCAAAAAGCAAAAAAAAAAAAAAAAAAGTTTTAAAAATTTGAGTACCAGTCTTATCAAAGTACCACATTTATTCCCTGCAACCTGAAAACAGAATTCAATGAGTATTTCCTGTTTTAACTTAATTTGATTTACAGTCTGAATGTTGAAACATTAAGGACTTACTTTCTTCATTTCTTCATAGAATATAATTAGAATGTTTTTATCATTTCTGTGCTCTTCCCAGCTTAAAACGTGATCAAACCAGGATCCGTACACAACTGGAAGAAAAGTGAATTGTGCTATGGTTAGAATGATGGCTGGGTTCTCCCCACTTTACCTAAGAAAACAAACTGAGGCACTTTACTTATTAGACTCTCAAGTGAGATTTTACTTAAAGAGTTCAATTTCGTTATTGTTTCAACTAAATATAATTGTGTGATATTAAGCCATGTCTTTTAACAAGTCTTTTGGTGTTTTGTTTCGTTTTCTTATGTCTACATTCTTTTAATATCAGGAGAAATGGCAGCAGAAATGGAGACGTATAAGGGGCAATCAAAAAGGACTGTTAATATTCAACTTTTAAAAATGTATTACAGGCAAGGTGTGGTGGTGCACATCTATAATCCTAGCACTTGGGAGGCTGAAGCAGGAGAATTACTGCAAATTCAAGGCCAGCCTGGGCTACATAGTAACTTGTCTCAAACAAACAAACCAATAGATAAATAAATAAAATAAAAAGTAAAAAATGTATTGCAGTAAAAAACACATTGCCATTAATCTCTTCAAAACACTGCCCCTCACTTTGACCACATACTTATCTCATGATTCGTATCATTTTCTAAAAATCCTGTTTCGTGAGTTCCCATGAAGTATGATAAGAAATGTGGTAAAAGCTTAAAAACCCAGTGAATGCTGCTACCAAGTACCATCCAACAGAAAGGCAGGCTTGGAGAAACAGTACAGTGTCTTTATCCCCTTATTTACTGGTTTTGTCCACATGCACCTTCTGGCTCTTTCCCAAGGCAAAATGACTATGAAGGGTAAACACTTTAAATCAATTCAGGAACTCAAGACACTCACTACAATGAAATTAAAGACACTCACTAGTCAGAATTTAAGAATTGCTTCAGGAAATAGCAAAAACAATGAAACAAGTGCTTTCAGAGTGAGGGGAAGTATTCTGAGGTGATTAATGGCAATGTGTCTTCTACTGTAATAAATTTTTTAAAATACACATCACATTTTACTATCATACATTTTCTCAACAATTGTGTTATAATGATCACTTTAGCTCTTGAGAGAAATAGAAAAACACTAGAGATTTATTATTATCTTTCTGTCAAATTATGTTTTCCTATAGTCATAGATTCTTAGCATAAACATTCATAAATTTTTAAAAAAGACTCTTGCAGTTGTTACTTTTTATGTATTGGTTAAATACATTTATTTAAGAATATTAGATTTAAAATTCTATTAGCTATCTAGTTCAAAACTGAGTATTAGTCTTAGGAATTTACTTATAGTTGATATGGTCTCTTTGTTGTTATTAAATGACAGTTTAAAAAAAATCTTCCAGAGTTTAAAAGTCATATATTATTATGCAAAATAACCTCTCTGCCTAATGCTTTAAACATAGCAATTTAAAGAGAAAAGTAAGAGATAGATAATAAGAAATAAAGCAATAGATCTTTTGCAAATGGAAAGAGATGAATAGAGAGAAGAAAAGGAAGTATAAAAAATTAAGGTATCTTATATACATGCAGCAACTTTCCACAAAGAATGTAATCATTACACAAGCATATACTACAAGCATATACTAACAAAAATTATAAAATAAATTAAAAACTATTCCATATACATCTTTCCATTACACCCTTGTTACCCAAAATTCAAATTCTAATGAATGCTCCAAGTGTAAAAGACCTGTTCTGCTAGTGATTTCCTGTAGCTTTGCCAATTTTTGATTAATTGAACTTACATTTATTAAGCCATCCGTGTCTGTCAGCCATTGTGCTAGACACTTATGAACATTAAAGTTTGAAATAAAGTGAATATAAGTGCAATTTTTCATAACTTTGGTTTTTTGAGGAAATAAAGGTTCAAAATTTTAAGGTCCAAAAATTAACAACATATATGTTCAAATCAAGAATTTCCAGGATGATTGGAACATCATTGCAGAATCAGCCCACCATCCCAGGGATTCATGGGTTCAGAGCATGTTCTTGGAAGAGTGGCCGAATGTAGCCCTTGGTTATCAGCAATCACAGGTCATTTCAGTGACTTACACAACACTGGCTCTAAAACTACTCAGATTACTATATCAGTGATAACAGACTCTGAGTCTAAGAATGGTGAACTTTTTCTCAGGTTATAATGGTGGTTAGTGGGTAGACTGATTTTTGTCTCATGCAAATTCAGGAAATTGACTACTGTAGTCACCAGTGCCTCAGACTCACAGGCATAACCCGCCCGCCATCTTGCATGATCAGCCACAGCCCAGTACTTGGTCAGCTACTGAGGCTGTGGAGTCTTGAGATTTTCAGAGAAGCTAGTGCTCCTATGCCTAGGTGACTGAGCAGAGACAGAGATCCAGAGTTACCACATGGATAAGGATGACTGACCTTGCCCTATGGTTTTTCAGTAGGAAATATATTACAGCATCCCTCAGAATACATTGAAACATTGGCACTGCTATTTGAGAGTCTGGGAGTCTGAGGCAGGACTGTTGTGGGTTCAAGGTCAGCCTTGGCAATTCAGTGAGACTGGGTCTCAAAAAAAGAAATAAAAGCCAGGTACATGTCTGTAATCCCCAAAATCTGGGAGACTAAGACAGAGTGATCTATGGAGGCTAATCTGGGCAATTTAGCAAGGCCTCATATGAAGTGAAATGGGTTGAGAAGTAATTAAGTTATTAAACTCGTGCCTAACATGCGAGAGACCCTGGGTTCTGTCCTCTGCACTATTTAAAAAATTAAGATTATGCAAAATATTAAGAATATTCAGGAACTTAGCCTGATCATAATTTGAAAGCCAGCTTTTCTATTATCCATGAATTAATTTATTTCCCAAAAGGACTTAAGGCAGCCAAAAGAAATTCAACACAGTGGCTGCCGGTGACTCCTTCAGTACAACGGGAAAGTGTATTAGTATTACATTTCAAAAGTGACTTATACCAAAGGGTTGGAATTTTCAAGTGACGGTGTTGTTAAATTTTTTAGTTCAGATTACTACTTACTCCTAGTTATCTGTAGACTTAGCTCTTACCAAAAATTTAGCTTTCAAAATAGAGATTTGAAATATTCCTTTTATGGTAAATGCTTTTCTCCACATCCTTCACTTTCAGAATTATCCCATCACCTCCTGGCTTTAAGCTTTGCCTGGCTCACCCTCCCTCAAATCCTAACTCACTCACTTCCCTGACTGCTCCTGTGCAGAAATGGCTCAGTCTCACCTAACCCATGTGTCCTAGATCTGGGGAGTGAGTCAGATTTCTGACTTCTAAAACTCTATTCTTCTCTTCCCTTCCCTTCCCTTCCCTTCCCTTCCCTTCCCTTCCCTTCCTTCCCTTCCCTTCCTCCCTTCCTTTGCCTCCCATCCCCCCCTTCCCCTCCTTTGCCCTTCCCTCTCCTCCCCTTCTGTTTCCTTCTCTTCCTCCATCTCCATCCCACCAAGGGATCAAATCCAGGACCCTCTACTACTGAGCTTCACTCCCTAACCCTTTTAAAATTTTACTTTGAGACAGATCTCACCAAGTTGCCCAGGCTGGCCTCAACTTGTGATCCTCCTGCCTCAGTTTCCCAAGTAGCTGGGATTATCTGGTACACAATTTCACCTCCCTTTTGGTCAGTACAGTGCTCTGTGGTGACTTTTCATGCTGAGGTGCTGACTAGGCAGCCTTCTCTGCCAAGGCCAGACAGCTTCACTTCATCCTGATCTCGGCTGGCATCTTTGTGGCTGTGTTCACAGAAAAACAATCTGTAGAACACGGATGACTCTGTTCTGTTGCGAGCACCTCGGGATGTCCTCGCCTGCTGGCTCCACACACCCACAAAGAGGTGGCCCAGTAATGAGGAAGGGTGGAAAGCGCAGTGTTAATAATGGCACATATAAACTGCAGTTCCTGTCTTGAGCAAAAGCAGACTCAAGGTCTGTTGTGAAAAAATAATTTATGCATTTAAACCCTGCTTATTCTAAAAATGGAATTGAGGTGGAGGGAGGCATGCTAGCTATCTTCAAATATTTAGAAGCTATCATGTGGAAGAAAATTAATAACCAGAGGGATATTTTTCTGGGCTAGTCATGGCACAGTGGTAAGGGCAAAGATTTTGAAGCTGATGCCTGAATTTAAATCTTGACTCTGCTCCTTACTTGTTATGCATCTGTGGCCAGGTTATTTGACCCTGTAGTCTACATTCCCTTCCGCTCTAAAAGGAGGATAATGACATCTACCTCACGGTGTTCTAGTGAGAGTGAAATGTTTGCATAACACTTAGCTGAAGTGTCTATCACATATGAACGCATGAAAAGTCATAAGAATGAAAAGAAACCTCAGAAATGGAATGCATTGCTCAGTGGGATTGGCGATCCTGTTGTCAGAATTAAGAAGCTCATGCTCAGTCCACACAATTCTAAGAGATGTTGGTTGCACGATTCAAACATCAACGGGTGTTCAGACCTGTTATTTTCCATATATTGTGGTTCTAGTGTGCTGTTAGTTAAGGAGGAAAGTGGATCAGAAAGAGCAGCTGAAACCTGACATGAAATTAGCTCTCTCACAATTTCATTTGTTTGGGGAACTTGTGTGTGCATATTTATATTTTTTGTTTACTTTTGTTTGTATTTTTTCCAGACATTTAAGGTATGCTACCTATCTGTATTGCAATTACTGCATAATTAATTCACTAAAAAGATTAGCGGCATATGAGGAAAAAAACAGTGATTATACAAAATTAATCTCTGTTTTGAAAACATTAAAAAAAAGTGCAATAAAAAATCACTAATATGCTATTACCCACAGGTGATTAGAGAGACTGTGAAGAGGCAAAGTGAGAAACAATTTGCTTGAAAGAAATTCAAAGTCATCTCCTCAGTGTATTTTTTTGTGAGGGAGGGAGAAGGCAGCTGAGATTTATTTAAGCTTTTGGAAATGTTTTTGTTTTGAGCTAGAAAATTCACCACTGTGTTATGAGTTTCTAAAAACCCGTCACTGTATTCACCTTCTCCTTGGAGGAATAGCTCGAAAAATGCAGCCCATGTCTCAATGTAAGGAAGATTAGGATTTTCTCTGTAGTAGTGGAACAGGGAAACAGCTGTGTCTTTTGGATTTCGGATGATGTAGATGATCTGTTTAAAGAAATATCAATTATTCTTGGGTGAAAACCTCAACACAAAGCATTTTCTAAGAGAAATCAGCAGCTACATTTACCTATACAAATCATGACTATTGGGAGCAGCTTTAGCTGTAATTAAAGGGAGTCAGTGTCTCTGAAAGCTTAATGTGCATAATATCTACTACAGAATCAAGTTAAAATACAGATTTGGATTCAGGGAACCCAGGAAGAGAATTGACATTCGGCATTTTTTACAAACTTTTGGGTGATGCTCACGCTCCCAGGCCACCAACCACACATTCTAAATTTATATGATAAATTTGGTCCTTTGCTTTAGAAGCAAACGTAGGGAAAAATTCTATTCCTTTGTGGAATACAATTACTTTTCACTTATTCAGAGATCACAAAGCATTTATATACGGTAAGGTTTCCTTGCAACTTGTCTATTATTTATAGGAATAATAATGTTGTATAATTTCTCTTTTCTACAATTTAATCTCCCAAAGAATACCCTGAAATACCCTCCCAGTTTCATGGACACTGCAATGAAAATGGGATTTAATTCAATAAATATTCATATAGTACCCACTGTATACCAGGTACTGGACAATGTTCCTGATCCAAAGACTAATTATGAGCATGACAGAAATGGTTTTAGCCCTCTTGAAATTGATAGTCAAATAATTAAACATGCTTTTAATAATGCAGTGTTGTAAGAGATAATAATAGGAGATATACAGAATGTTTTAGAATCACAAAAGAAGCCTCAAGAAGCCAATGTGAGAAGCTGGATTGAATAGGAGTACTGCCATTCCCATTGGACACTGAATGAGGAGCTAATAAGTGCAAAATATTCTTGCTTTTTGGTTGACAATCGACTTGAACACAGTTTACCTAGATAAGAGCATGTTTGCTGAGTCATTTTTAAAATCACGTTCATAGTCCAAGTATTGTGCAGGTCCACAGGTGCAATGCCTGTTCTTTAACAGAGAGATGTTAAAGGTCACTGCAGACAGGAATGAAGACCCACCTTTACCCCACTGTACCCAGTGGCCCCTCTGTATCTCAATATCACTGCAGAGTCCCTTAACACATCAGGCCTTTGTGAACTGCCCCAGGCTTCCTGAGCCGGTCCACCAAAGCCCAAGGCTCTCAGAACAGTTAAAAATCCACTGCCTTAACGCAAAATGGATACTGTAGCAGAAATTTAAGGCCAGTCGATCAGTTGGACATATTTATTTTGGTAAAGAGTTTTTAGGGCTTTTGAGAATCTTCCAAATTATATATCTACATTCTCTACTGGTAAAAGAATAGATTCGATTTATTCATGTTTTGCCAAAGAATATAGTCTAGGAAATCAGAAGACTCATTGGAGGATGTTAGGGGATATTAAGGGAAGGCAGACTCATAGTTGGGGGAAAAGAAATCAAATGCTAAAGGAAACATCATGAAAAGATCTAGCAGGCATAAATGTTATGCCAGTGAGTTTTAAAACATAAAAAAGAAGAGAATTCAGAATGCCAGAAAGGGTGAGAGCTAGCAGAGAAAGCTTGAGGGAGGAATATCCTGTCCGACAGGCCCGCCTGGAAAGCCTGTCCAACTCTCCAGAGCTCCAGCACCCATGTGAGAGTCACCTGCTCTGGAAACCAATGTGACCAGACAAACTCAGTTCCTGTTAAGGGTCACCCCGAAAGGGGTATACTCCTGAAGGCTGTAGCTTCAAGTGTGGTGGGTAAGAAGTTCCCTACGCTCTCTGTCCTGTGGTTTCCTTCCACAGGCTTACAAAGGCCACCAGTCATTGTTGTGTGTGAAACACTGTCGTTTGTGTTACCCCGAGTTACAGTTACTGGGTTTAATCAAACTCCATTTCCATTTCCCCTGTCAAATCTCTCTCTCTCTGTCTCTCTCCCCCTCCTTCTCTCTGTCTCTTTCCCTCCTCCTCCCCCTCTCTTTCTGTCTCTCATCTCTTCATATGAATAATATGTATGTGTATACATAACATATATATTTCTCTCTCTTTCTCCCCCTCTCTTTCTCCCTCTCAGTCTTGGTTCTGATTCAGAAAGAAGGAGGAGCAGGAGGAGGATTTTTATGAATGACTTCTCTCAGTATCTTAGAGTATTTGCAAGAATAATGTTGAGTGAGGAAGTGTAAGCCAATGAATGCACCCTCCCTCCCCGTTCTGACAGAATTGTGGGGGATAAAGACAAAACCCTTCGGCACTCTGTCCTAGTTGACTTGTTTACTTCCCCTGCGTGGAAGAGCAGACAGTGTGTGCAGAGCAAAATCACAACACGGGAAGAGGTGCCCTGATGCACGCACAGTGGACAGGCCTGTTGGTTTGATTTTAGGCTTAGAATGTGGCTGGAGTTAGAACCAGCTTCATTATCATGAAACTTGTAGCTATCACATGTGTCTTGCTTTGTTTTTTAAACTTTTTTTTTTCTGATAAAAGCACAAATCCAAAATGCTCCCTATACATACATCTCTAAAAGAAGTGAAGTTCAACCCTAATGCCATGCTATAGAAAATCACAGGACTGGGGGCCGAAGATTTAGCTCAGCGGCATAAGCACCTGCCTTGCAAGCAGGCGGTCGTGAGTTCGATCCCCGGTACCGGAAAAAATGAAAAAGACAAAAAAAAAAGAAAAAAAAAAAAAAAAAAGAAAATCACAGGACAGGGTGAGATACTTAACCTGGTATCTTTACATGTATGTGTAAGTATGTTTTAATAGTCAGTATATGTGACTTTAAAAACAAAGATTCTACTTAATCTTCTGTTCTAAGCATTTCTCCACATAAACATAAATTAGAAGAAGGAAGTTATGTCCTTAAACACAGGCTCACCTTGCACTGCTTTTGTTTGATATTCACAGGTAGCAAGTCGTAGCTTAAGTGCGTCGGAATTACTCTCCTCTCAGAGTACGTCTTCAGCTCTTCAAGCTTAGAAACGTCTCCTAACTCAATAGGAGATGTGAGAGAGATTCTAGCATTGGGGATGCTCTCAATGACCTCTGCGATCCAGTGAGTGCCTTTACACAAACATAAAATGCAGTGTAGTTTTAATTAAATGTCACTCTCAAAATGCATTGAAGAAAATTAGCATATTATAAAAACAAGGAAGCAGCATTGGTTTTATTATAAATATATTGTTACACTCATTGAAACTGCTGAAACACTGGAAATGCTCATTCATGTTACAGGTTGCGTCGCATTTTAAAGAGTGAGGGTGTGGGCACACTGTTCATGCTGTCATCTTGGCTCGATATGTACTATGTTATAACTCGGTTAGAGATCTGTAATTCACTATGTTATCACTTGGTTAGAGACCTTTAATTCACAAATTCACACAGATATTTTATACTTGAATTCTACTTGTCCTAGAAGCTCATATGTCTTCCTCTCTTTCTTTTTTTCTTTCTCTCTCTCTCTCTTTCTTTCTTTCCTTTTTTTTGTTTAGGGGATTGAATCCAGGGTCCTGTACATGCTAGGCGAGTGCTCTTCCACTGAGGTGCACAGCTAGCCATTTTTATTGTATTTTAAAATAGGGTTTGTCTAAATTGCCCAGGTTGGCCTCAAATTCAGGGTGCTCCTGCCTCAGCCACCTGAATAACTACATTTCAGACACCGTCTTCTGTACCTCCATCCCCTGGTAGCTTTGTTCATCTTTCTGTTTCCCTTGGAAGTACCCAGTTCCCACATTCATTACAGCACAGGCCAAAGTACAATTGTGTGGCTGCTCTTCGTGGTTTATCTCTATTTGCCCCTTGAAGATAAGCACTGAATCGTATTTCTATTTTGTGTAGATACATATTAGTTGCACAAAGTATTCAGAAAATGAATCTATGCTATATTCAAACATCATGGTGATGTAAGCCTGTACCATAGAATCCAGAAAAAGTATAACTTTATGTTGACACAGAGTAGACAGTGAGCCTGTTGCAGTGTTGCAGAAAATAGTAAATTGGAGCAGAGAAATAAAAGTTTGCCACAGGGTGGGGGACGCCTCACTAATTTGAAAGCAATGTCCCTAATGAGTTTAAATCAGGCCTACTCTACATTTATCTCATTATAATTTCAATTAAATACACCATTAACATCTTTATATTTGAATAGATATTAGAGTTAACACTGTCTCAATTTCATAATTTAATAGTAAGAATATTTTAGATTCTAATGTTATTGAACTTTGAATACTTATAATTACCATATTCATGCCAATGTGACTCATCCTGTAGGGATTTGGCATTATTTTAACAAACTACACTGATTAGTAAGGCATTAGTAAAGTTTTAATTTTTTACAACTAAATCATCTTCGGGGTAAATTTGTAAAAATTTCAGAGTCAAATGGCTAATACCATTTTTTCTAGGGGGAAAATTTTGAAAAATAAACACGTGGAAATGTTTATTGTAGTTTTACAGTTGCATTTCTGCATTTTAAAACGTGCTACGGAACGAGCCCTTCAGCAGCTGATGCTTTGTATGTCAGCCGATGTCAGCTCATGAACATGAGCATATACAGTGGATGTCTGTGTATGATTATCTATATATGAGATACGTTAGCCACTCCTCTAAGAACACTTAATATAACGTAAATTGCTTTCTAAATTAATGAATTAACAAGACAAGATACATTCATTCACAGGTGACCTATTACATTTCGACTTTACCCTGAAGAATTCTGGAGGCAAGCAATGAATTTGTCTTTGCAGCTAACGTAAGAAATAAAATAAAAATATGTGTTTTCTAAAATAAAAAATAAAATAAAATATGCATATTTATATTTTTCCAAAATATAAAATAAAAATATATATTTATATTTTTTTCAAAAAGCACTCTTGCTGTGAGGTCTGAATTTTGTCTTATGTGAATTCTATTTCTCCCAGTAAGAGGGACTTCGTGGGTCTCAGATGGTGACCACACGGTACACACAACTCAAATGAAGCTGACTTTTTAGCTGTTGACTTGTGCTATCAAGCATGTGCCATCTCTATAAGCTCATTATTCAGGAAATAGCAACAGGCAATTGTAAATTATATGCCCCACCCACTTCTCTAAATCAAACAAATATATAAGTAATTTTGATAATTTACAGAATGCTATTAAACAATCACTCCTTCATGGATGTATATGTGAGAATAAGCTTTGAGATAAAATCCCTTTAACAATAAAAGTATTTTTTTTTAGTACTGAAGGAAAATATAATCAATCATTAAATATAAATTGAACAAATGCTAGCTGGTTATCACTATGTCTGATGCAAAGTAATTATATTATCAGCATTAGACACATGTATGCGTTTTATATACAATTATATATTATAATATATACTATATGTAGGTATTTGTATTTATGGTGAATTGTAAACAAAAGCATTAATTGTAAAGTTTTAAATTTTTACAACTAAATCTTTTTCAGGGCACGTTTTTAAATGTCTAATGTCATTTTTTTTTCAGGGGAAAAATTCTGAACAATAATTGTGTAAAAATGATTATTGGAGTTCTACTGCTGCATTTCTACATTTTAAAAAATGGATTAAAGCAAACTCACCAGATTTTGGATAGGAAACAAGGAACACATCATCTTCTCTGACATCAAAAGAATCCAAAGCATGAAGAAGTTCTTCTGAAGACATAGTAGAAAAGAGGATCCCCTTGAATTTATGGAGAACACTTACTTGGCTCTGAGACGACATGTTTCATTAAATTAAATATGTCAGAAATTATTTCTTAAACACTGACCATACGAGTCACACAGCTAGTGTTACCCAAGATCTCAACCTTAGTTCTTAGTACAAAGTAATCTTACAATTATTAAGCTGGTTTTCCAACCAGGACACATATATATACCTCTTGCAATTCTCCACAAGAGTAATTTTTAAACCATAACCAAGCCAAAGTCTAGTGTAAAATTTATGTTATCTGATTTTTTCTGATAATATGTTGCGAAATGGTTCTACCAACTTGGCTCGGGATAGTTTATATACAAAGCTACTAAGCTATTAGAATGTAATCATTATATGATGATACAACATTTAATCAAATCCTTTGGCCTAAATAAGCAAAAGCTTTTAGTGGCTATAATTAATTAAGTCACTGGAAAAATGATTAGAAAATTTAGACTTCTACATATTAACACTTACTTATTAAATGATTACACTTCTACTTATTAACACATTAAATGATTAGAAAAATTAGACATCTACTTATTAACTACTTATTAACACAGTAGAGGAAATGACTGGTATTGCCTTTTAAGAAAAGAGAAGGATAGAATGAGCAAAAGGAAAAATGAGTCTTTCTAGAAACTGATAGATACACTTAGGACTTAAGACAAAGCTTATGGAAAGTACTTTAGGAGAGACACACTCATGCAGGAAGAAAGATGCGCTGAGGGTTTCCTGTAAGCAGGAAGTTTCACGTTGAAGTTAATATATTCTTGCTTTTGTCAATTACATTACAATATTCCCGATTCGATTACATGTGGTACTGATTGCTCAGTTATTTCAGTAAACCACAGCTAATTTTTGCTTGTCTAAAAATCAAAGAAAGTATGCTCCAACAAAGAAATGAACCACACCTTAATTCAGCATCAAAAAGTGAAAGTCTACTGTGGGAGAAATAAAAAATAATGGTATCTGTGATAGTGATAAAAATAAAATTTGGAATGATACTACAGGTAGAAAACCCCTAAGTATTTCTGAACAATTAAAATAAACGAGTTTGTACTGACCACAGCTGCTGGAAAAGAGTCAATATGTGAAAATGAATTGTATTCCTATATTTAAAAGTAAAATTTGAAAAACAGAACTGTTTACAATAGCGTGAAGAAAAACCAAGACTATAAATAAAACTAACAAATGATGCGTAAGGCTCTGAAAACTGCAATTACAAAGATGAATTTTAAAACATTTTTAAAAACACAGAAATAAAATATTTCCATATCCTGGGTGACTCATTATTATTCAAATATCAACATTCTCTTTATTGAGTTATGCATTTAATAAGTTTGCTCAAAATTCCACCAGATAGGCATGTATGTATGTGCATCTGTTTATGTGTGTATTTGTGTATGTGTGTGCATGTGTAGATAAATTGACAGCCATTCAGATGGAAAAGAAAGGCCTTAGAATAGCCCCCCAAAATCTTGAGGAATAAAATTCTGTAGGCCTTATATTGTCATATCTCAAGACTAGCCACAGAGCATCAGGAATTAATGTACTCTCACCTGTACTCAGGTGACCAATAGAATAAAATGAAAACTACAGAAAAAGATCCACATATACATCGTCACTTGATTAATGACAAAGGTAAAAAGTCAGTGAGAAAAGAATTTTTAAAATGAATAGAACATATTTAATTGGAACCCTAGAGAAATAAAAGAAATTCCCTACCTGACCTCATATACAGAGAAAAATTCAAGATAAATTGTAAGGAATTATTTTAAAATTAAAAGACTTCCAGAAGATAACATAGAATATCTTCAGAATCTTTGCGAAGGCAAAGATTTCTTAAAAGGCTACGCAAAAGTACTAATCATTTAAAAATTATAATAGATGTGATTAAATTAAGGACCTCTTTTTATTAAAAGTCACCATGAAGAAGAAAACTACATATTTCCAGAAGATATTATACTACACATATTAAATACTGTGTTCATTTCAGATTCTTCAAAGAAACCCTATTAATTAATGTTTTTTTTAAAAAAAACCAAAAGATCAACAAAAAAGAGCAAACTGTGAAAACACCAAAATCATATCCAACATTACCATTCATTAAGGAAATTACAACTAAATCCAACAATATAAAGGTGAATGGCAGCATTAGAGGCTTTGCAGTAAAATAATAATAAATAATGAGGTCTTTTAAAAATCAAGTAGGCATTTAAAATGCTTAGACACAGCCCTAAAAGAAGAGTTCAAATGAAGAAATGTTCATTCAAGAAAGTATACTAAATATTGACAGAGTGAGATTCTACAAGTAAAGCATGAACTGCTCCCTTCCTCCATGATCCCTGCCAACTAGCGAAACAAAAATATGACTAAAAAAATAAGGCACTGTGCTTTCCTAGCTTCCAAACGAGGAATATTGCACTTCCCTGGGAAGAGCAAGGCACCAGCATGCTCAGTTCTAACTTTTTTGTGAGGACTAAACTCTGGTTGACAGCAGTCAAGTGGATGTGAGCTCTCTTCCTCCATTGAGATGCTAGCTAGAGAAAATAAGCTCAACTCTTGGTGAGGCACAAAGAAAAGTACAGAGCACCTGTATGACATTAGTCATGGCACTAGTCACTTAAAAATCAAAGATTGGAGCTGGGGATTTAGCTGAGTGGCATAAGTACATGCCTTGCAAGTGTGCAGTCGTGAGTTCGATTCACAGTACCGATAAAAAAAAAAATTAAAAATTGTGCACCCACAGAGGCAAACTGAGAAGATCAGATTTACTACTCTTTTCCAAAGCTCCACTCATAGAGCAGAAGTGTTACTCCAAGAGAAACTGGCCACCATCCCACTCCAAGAATCCACAGACCTTCCTGTGAGCCAGCATCAGCCATGCAGAACAGGAAGAGAAACAAGAAGCCAAGCCACACCTTCCCATGAGCCAGTGGCAGCCAGTTGGAGCAAAAAAAAAAAAAAAAAAGAATCAAGAAGCCAATCCACATTTTTTTCTTGTGAGCTGGGGGCAGCCATAAGGAAGAGGAAGAGAATCAAGAAAGCCAAGGCATGCCTTCCCGTAAGCCAGCTGGTGCATGAGCCATGAGGTAAGAGCAAACATCCACACCTCCACCCTCATAAGCAACTGATCGATTTAGAGGAACTTAGGAATTGAAGCAAAAAAAGAAAAAAAAAAAAAAAAAAACACCATAATGCTTGTAACTGATTGATTTCAGCGGGCCTAAAGCTACAAAGTCTGAGCTTCTGTTTGGATGATAACAATATGCATCATAGCAACTGTCGCGGATTTCCTTATGTCTTGTTTTGAAATCCCGTGTTTCGTTCCATTTCACTGTTTCATTTTATTCCTGTATCTGGTAACCTGAGCACCTATTTTGGAGATAACAATATGCAATGTAACCACCATTGTTAAATTCCTATCCACTTGTTTTGAACACCTACATAACTATTGTCTTTTTGTTGTTGTTGTTTTTGCTTCGTTTGCTTCTTGGTTTTTCTGAGGTTTTTTCCCTTAAAAAAAAAATACAGGGCAATGGCTCTGAGATTTTTCCTGGATGGAGAAGGTAAGGGTAAGTATGAAGAGTTGTGAAGCTCTCCACAAATGAAAATGCTTCCATTCCCTACCCTTCTCTTTCCCTCCCTTCGAAAACAGTTGTCCCGTTGTTCTTGCCACTCTGAAGCAGATCTGGAAGTCCTCTTTCATAAATGTCTTCAGCTGTGCTGTGGTGGCTGCCTGAATGTCTTGAATCAATTCCAAATGTTTACCATTCCTGATAATTTTGACATTGAAGAAGAGGCAGCATTCACAGGGTGCCAGATGATGATTTTTATGAGCCTCACTTTCTACTCAGTGATGCTCAGCATCAGAAATCACTATATTGTATATCACTCATCATAAAGACACTGGGCAAGAACCTGGTAGGGCCCTGCCCAACAACCCCAAGCAGCCAAGGAACTCTGGTGCAGCGTATGGCACAAGCTGAAGGCCTGTACAGTATGTTCTACCCAGCTGTGCAGCCTTAGGAACCTGATAGGTCGCCATCCCAGCAACCCCAAGCAATCGAGAAGCCTTTCTGTATCATTTGGGTCCTGGTAGGGCCCAGCCCAGAGACCCCAAGCAGCAGGGAGTATTAGTGCACCATTCAGGTCCTGGTAGGGTCCCATCCAATGATCCCAAGCAGCTGGGAAGCATCAGTATGCTGCATGCCACGAGCTGAAGGCCCGCACATCATATTCCACCTACCTGTGCAGCCTTGGGGGTCACCTGGCAGCAGGTAGAGCCCCATCCAGTGACCCAATCAGCCAGGGAGTCTTGGGGCACCATGTGGGGCATGCTAAAGATCCGTTTAGTGTACTCTTTCCATTTAGGGAACCTCTGAGTGCCTCTCGGGACCTGGTAAGGCCTGCCTAGCAACCTCATTCAGCTAGGGAAACCCCCTCCAGTGTGGACAGCCATCCTTAACCCAAGAAATAACTACCCTAGGGGAACACAGGAAAATGACAAAACAAAAGAGTATAATGCAATCTCAAACCTCCAGCCCATGCCAAACAAGCCTAGGACTCATGGACATAGAAGAAAATGTAAGCCATGCACCTGAAACTTCTGAAATTATAGCAATTGAAGAAACAATTCCATGTTGATTATTATGTGTCTGGGTGTAGATCTATTTTGGTTATGGCTAGTTGGAGTTCTATATGACTCACTTATCTGTATGGTAGTTTCTTATCCCATGTCTGGGAAATTTTCTGCTACTACTTCTAATAAATAGACTTTTACATCCTTTGTGTTGTCACCTTTTTCATTTATACCTATCAATCTTATGTTGTTTTTCTTTACATCGTCTTGCAACCATTGAATTCTTATTTCATGATTCCTTGTCATTTTTGAAAGATCTTTCCTTTCCTGTTCACTAACTGCAATCTTTTCTTTGAGGTCTGAAAGTTTATCTTCACATCCATGTACATGTTTTTTCCAGCTTTTGATGGAATTTTTGATTTCCTGGTATCTTTTTGAATCTATTTCATTCATTCTAATTCTTTCTTATATTGTTCATTCAAGGCTTCCATCATTTTGCAGGGCTCCTCTATGTCTTCTTTAGATCTTTTCAGTATATCTTTTATTATGTTTGTAATTTCTTGTTTTACTTGGTAGATTATTTCAGACACGTAATAATCAACATCCCAGAAATAAACATAAGGATAGAATATTAAAAGCTGTTAGAGAAAAGACACAAATCACCTATAAAGGAAAACCCATCAGAATCACAGCAGATTT